TCGTATCGGGCGTCGAACATTAATGAGTGACAAGTATAGAAGCAGATCTGAATGTGGAGGAAACTTCTGCTTACGGCGAAAGAAGTGAAAAATTGAAAACGTGGTGTACATTCAGAATCGGTGACATTTTCCTACCAGATTTATCAGAAGTCCGTTGTATCATACGGTGTTGAATAAAACGTGCATTGCTATCACATAGTGATATGGACGCAGAATAGCTTGGACGTTTGATGTCTTCTAAATGTTCCCCAAAAGTTTAATTTTATTTTCATATGCGTGCAAAAAATTTAATATCAAGGCAAGGAGATGAACATTTGAAGCAAGTTCCTGTTAACATAGTATAGGAGTTGTTTATGAGTGAGATGACTGCCTTTTGGAAAGAATAACGCATAAGGTTTTATTTATGAACATTTTGTACAGATACTGACATTTCAAACCAAACTTGATTCGTTTTCAGAATGACAATCAGTTTAAGATGATGTAAATTTTATTCAGGTTGGGTTAACCCGTATAATTGACGGTGCTGCGCTTTAAGGAAGATGCTGCATAAATATGTTTAAAAAACGGGCAAGTTAAAAAGAGGGGTGAAACCATACAAGAAAAAGGATGGCAAAGCTAGCTATATTCAGTGATATACACAATTTAAAATATTTCGTCGCACATTTGTTGCTATTGAACACATTTATAACTGTGAATGCCAAAATGATTTATGGAAATGAAACGAAAAAACTACCAAATCCGTTTCATATTTTCATAGTCGTATATTCTGATATCTTTATGATATCTGTTAAACACACGTTGTAAAATAGTCTTAGCTGTTCAATTTGATTATCATTTTCAGGCATTCAAAGAAAATCCAGATGAATTCGAAAGCTTTTTTAAGCGAGTGCTTGAAGCAGCTTTGCAATGTGATGACCTTACGCTCCGAGAGCAGATGATCGTTGTTCAGTTCCTTGATCATTGTTTCAGCAGTGTGGTAAAAAAAATTTTTATTGTCGCATCTGTATAACGTTTTTTAAGGAGGTGGACCTTCTGCGTATTCATATTCAAAAATTGGTGTCTCTTCCGATGTGGATTTGTTTACCAATGGTATTTCTGACTTTTAAAACTGGTTTCAGTATGCTTACAGTTTCCTGTTTACAGAAAATACGCGATAAAATTTTTATGAAGAACCGTAAGCTGAGAAAATACTGGAAGGTGATTCAGAAGCATGACTCAAAACTGAGCGAGGAAGAAAAAAATGAGGCAGAATATCAACGACGGTTTCTGTACAGATTCATATGCAAGTTTTATCGCATTCTCTCATCAATCCCTGCAGAAGGTGAGTTAATCTAATACGCTATGCAGTTGGCATCGTGATGTTTTTGTGCAACTGTTCGTTTTGAGGCGAATGTGACTT